GGAGTCGGATATCGAAATCGGTATGTTTTTTTTTTTTTTTTTTTTTTTTTTTTTTTTAATTTGCACTCGCAAACGCTACGCTGTATATAACTACTTATTATATTCTTGTTGTTGTTCGTCTTTCTATGTGGGTCAACGCCTCTACCTTCCTACAGTCTTATCTCAGATAACTCGGAGATATCACTCGAGAAAAGAAAATTCGCCTATATATTGCTCGCGTTTACGTTTCTCTTGTCGAGATTCCGTTTTTAAGATTTTACACTAGTTTATAACAATACGCTCGATATATCTCGAAGACATTTTGGAACGCGTTACATTCCTAGATAAAATACATAACTCGTAAGTGTCGCAAAAGAGCGCGTGCGAACCCTCTCTTTCTCTTGATATACATACCTATATCTCGTATATTTTTTTAGAGCGTTAAGTACGAAAATGAAATATTTCTAAATACCGTCAACATCCGCGCTTACGAACTACAATATCGCTTTAAGAAAGTTCATTACAGATCATTTCTATAGCTTCAATCTTGATAAAAGGCAAAGGTATATAATATACAAATCCTGTTACTCTCTCTCTCTCTCTCTCTCTCTCTCTCTTTCTCTCTCTCTCACGTGCCAGTGTGTATATACTTTCTATTTCTTCAAGTACCTGAAACTTCGTAAAACTTCTACGCGCGACTATACGTCGGAAAAACGTGTCCGAGAGCACCGGTCGTACCTGGTCGATCGATGAATTATTAAAGTGTCACGTTTAGGCGAAGTACTACAAATTTATTTGTCGTCGGTCCGACCCGATCGTCCGATTAAGCACGAACGACAGAGATCTGTTGCGAGCACGATCGCAAGGTACGTCACCAAGCACGTCGGCACGTGAGTGCAAGTTCGTGTCCGAACTATGTGTGTGTGTCGACTATGTGTTCTTCTTGTTAATTTCGATGATACAAGGACTCTGTGTGTGTGTGTGTGTGTGTGTGTGCGTAATATATATAAGAACTGCCGCAACAATGATAGGTAGATCGTTGTAAGAGATTTTTGTTGTTTTTCTTTTTCATCTACAAAAATAACTGCGAAATATAACGCGCTCAAGATCACCGTAGATCGCGTTTTTCTCGCGTTTTAAATTTATTTTAATATGCTATGTATACATAATAATGCCGGTAATATACTAATTAGAGCGTGCGCGTACAATACGAGGTAAATATCCGACTAGCAATAAGTTCGGTAAAGTTCTCGTCGTATATATATTCACAGTTTTCTAGAGAAATATATATATAGCACGGTGATGTGATTTATCATCAGATTGACAAGAATGCGGCGCTACGTGTGTGTGATGAAAATATAGATATTTCATATATATATAATATATATATATATATAGTATATATAGTATATATATAGTATATATAGTATGTTATATATGTATATATATGTATATATTTGCAAACGGGAAGTACGTGCGCGAACTTGAATGATCAAAAAGGTATATAATTGTTTTCCGCTAGCTACATCTTCGCACTCTTACAAAATCACGGTAAATATTGTGTGTTACATAATTATATATAATCTTTCTTTTTTTTTTTTACTACAGGTAGTTTCTTCCGCAGCGAATGCAATTTCCCTGAACTTATTCTCGCGAGTGGACGTTCGCCATTCTCTCTTATTGCAATAATCTAAGAATGCGTAATCACATTTCCCCCTCCCCCTTCATCGGGAGGTGCTTCTCTCGGAATTACACATTAATTGAAACGCTGTATAATTTTTTTTATTTCGCAAATCGTAACCTTTCTATCGTACGTTTTTTTGTTTTCCCTTTTTTGTTTTTTTTTTGTTTTTTTTCTTGTTTTATCACTGTTTGGTGTTTTTAAACGGCAAGTTTTTTGACGGATGATGAAACGACAAGAACACACAAGAAACACTCAAAACAATTGAACTGAACTACGCCCGTGCCAGAGTTTCCGCCGAAAGTTTCGGCAACGCTTGATTGAATGCACACACTCTCTCAAGGCCCCTTCTTCTTTCGGAGAAGAAGCGACTCTTGTCAGGAGAATACGAGATTCGGGGATACGAACAATTGCACATGTTGCTGTTCCGCGAGAATGTTTGAACGCGAAATATTCGGAATATTGCTCCTTGGCGTTTCTTTCAGAAGACGTTCGTCTGTTCGTTAGAAGAAGAGATTATCGTAAATGTAAAAAGAAACTTCCGAATGTATATGTATATAATATATAGGCACGCAAAACTCCCGGACCGGCGAACTCTTTTCTATTACACAACGGTTAATTTTAAAGTGAAATGTCCTTACGGCACGCGGCGTTATGTCTCTACCAGTGTCTACGGAGGATGTTTCGTCACTACCGTCATCATTCCGTTTGTGAGCAATAGAGATTAGTCAAGAGTAAAATATAAGTGTTTTTCAACGTGTAAAAAAAGACGATTGTGTGCGAGTTTCGCGATATTCTTCAAACGGGTGAGGGGGGAGGGGATGGGGGAGGGATGGGAATCCCGCGAAACACATCGCGAAACGCGCAACAACGATGACGTATATAATACAATACAACAATTGTCGCCGCCGCATTGTCATGTATATTTCGCATCTCTCGGAAAAACGTATCACATTTTAATTCTTGAAACGCTTGAAAAAAAAAAAAAAACGAACAAAAATTAGCGACGGTGACTGGAGTGCGCACCCGAGCCGTATCCGTCCGCTAAACAGCTGTACGTCTTCTCGGATATTGATTCTTCTGGAGGTCAACGCCTCAATAATACCACGGAGGCGTTTAAGCGAGATAGCATCTTTATTCCTGATGCGATCGCTGACGCTCGTGTCTCTGGCCAATCAGCCATCGTTTAATGTAAGGCGCGAGCAAAGGATAGGAAAGGAAGAACACGTGTCCGCAGTAATACACACTGGCGTAAACCTGACTGTATCGCGGATACGAGAGGTATATGAAAGACACGAGGGAATACCCCATGAAAACGAGAGTGTAGAGCTTGAGAAATATCCACGAGAGCAAACGCGCTTCCCATCGCGTTTTCATAAGCGTTTGCACCTTCTCGCTGTTCTGCAACGCCGGTGCGATCTGGAACAAAAAACAAAAAAAAAAAAAAAACGAAATAGAACAACGCGAGAAATATCTTTTTTAAACTACACAATTAAATTATACTCATTAATTAATTATCGAATTATCACGTTGAATAAACGCCGAGCGTTTATTTTTGCTCCGACGTAACAAAATGTTTTTTTTCATTGAAATTCACATCGCGATAAAATATTACACAATACGATCGAGTTGCGCAAAGTCACGCAAATCAACGTTCCCACGTGCGCTGTTGTTATTTTAAACCACTGTTCTAATATTAATTGCGTTAAAAAAAAAATTGTAAACGTTGGTTTTCGCGCGAATTTTACGCGATTATTATTGAGTTTGATTGAGCGTTTCAGTCGCTGATCAGCGCGACTGAAAGTTGCGGCGTGTTAAATGCTAATTCTCGAAGGTCTCTATCTCCGGATGTTTTGCTCTTCTCACATATAGATTTATCAACGAGATTTAATAACTAGATTAAAAAAAAAAAAAAAAATCAAATCAAATCAAACTTGGAATGCTGCACGCGCGAATATATATATATGTATGGCTTGTACACTTACATCTCGTTCAAAGTACATCACGAGAAATTCCATGAAGAAGCAGTGATAATATCCGGAATGCAGACCGTGCCAGACGGCAAGAAAGAGCAACGTTATCACTTGGCTGTATATCTTCGAGCCCAGAAATTTCAATCTCTTGTAGATGTACTCCGCGCACCAGTGATTGGTGTTTATGTTAAACGACATGATGTAGTGATTGAACTGCGTGGTGCCCTCGAACGTTCGCAGTTTCACGTTCGCGCAACCGTCCCATTTGATACGGCCCGCGGAATCCTTTCCGTTGTGCGTCAGACCGAAGGTGATGCACACCTGCAATATACGATCAATCGATCGCGAGATTCGTGTGTGTGTGTTCTTGCGCGAACAAAAGTATATATATATATATGTATGTATGATTTAAAAATACACAAATCTCGATATATTGTTACCCCTTCTGTGATCAGCCAGACGCTGATGTATTTATAAAGATTGATCCTGCCCCAGATGCCGATCAGCAGGCACTTTTGGATCAGATTAAGATTCTGGAACGACGGTTCGAAGAAATACTGATCGGAAATGCAAAGGGTGCCGATTTGAAACACCGCCACGTATACAAATCCAACGAGCGCTCGCATCAATCCCGCGGACACGCAATCCGGTAGTTTGACGGCGCCGGTTACAGGATCCTGTGGAAACAAAAAAATTCATGCGACCATGTACGTTTCGCGTAAAGTTTGTTTCGCGAAACGAGAAGAGAACCGGAGGGGAGAGAGTATGTATATTTTTTTTTTCACATTTCTCAATTTATTAGCGCGCGGTAAAATGAGGTTTTCCGATCAAATTACTAACGCGTTCAGCAAGCTGACCATTAACGTAGTTCAGATATCGTCGCATACTGAACTGCGGCCCGATCAAGAACGCGCCCGGGAAGTAGGCGTAAGCCGCGATTTCCAGCAGCGACGGGCGTTCCTTCAAGGCCACTTGTTTCTGTGTATCGGACAGCTTCTCCTGCAACACGAATAGGTCCGATATAATGTTGTTGCGCCACGGGGAAGCGAATGTATAAGATATAAATGACGAAAGAGGAGAAATAACGTTCGTACGTCACGTTTTTGACCGTCCCATACGTTAAACCCAAGTCCTATTAACCTAAGAGTGAGCACACATTGCGGCATTGTCCACTTGATGTCGTAATCCTGAGTGCTTGTGGTGTAATAGCCTGTTATTGTGTGAAAAAATAGTACAATTAGATCGCTCGCTTTTAAGATAATTCGATAACAAGATAACGCGGTCAATTATTATGAAAAAAAAAAAAAAATTATTTGTAATTACGAGCTTATCGTTTCTTAGCGTACCCTAGTTTCGGATCGTCCTTGTCGATGAGAAAAAAAAAACCAAAATTAAAAAATGTAAAAACTTGTTTGAGGAAAACTCTTATGTTCCAATAGTTTTACTTTTTATTAAAAAACAAAAACAGCAATAGTCTACGAGTGCGATAAGAAACACGCGGTGTAGATAATATTAAAGTAAATATTAAAACGAGCATAAAACGCGATACAATATTATATAAATGCAAACACACACACACACATATAAGCGACGTGTCGCGATATGATCAACCTCAAACTGATATCTTCTTTGTGCGTTAATGTCTTACCGTAAAGCAGATACGACATGTTGAACAGAAACGTGACGATAACGGACAGCCCGTTATTACCGAGAATTGTTAGAATCAGATACGTCCCGCACACCGCTGTCGACAAGTGAAGTATATTCCAGTCTGTGAAACAAACAAATTGTCAATGTGTGTTTTTTTTTTTTTTTTAGAAACCGCTACACTTTACCATGCATTAATATTGACGTTCTATTGAGACGTAACGCGTTAGAGAAAGAAAGAAAGAGAGAGAGAGAAAGAGAGAATTACCATAATTCCAATAACCGATCAAGAGACCGCACGCTATGAAAAATAGGTGCTGACGCGTCGGGTCCTTGCCGTAGAGCGTGTATCTGTGCAGAAGAGCGACGGGAAATCCTGAAATCAAAATTTCATCGAAAAAGTTTTATTCTCTGGTTTTTTTTCTTTTTTTTTTTTTTTTTATTGCAAATAACAACCGGATTCTCGTGCGTGAGTTCCGATATTTTTTTGGAAAATTAAAATTCTGCGTTTTCAATATTTTCTCGCATCTAGGGTAAAAGACCCTTTAAATTACCGTCACCTGTCCAATTACTGTCACTCTAAGCTATTTTATTTAAAATATTAAATAAATCCTAAAAGGTTATGCATGAAAAACATCTAACATAGAATTTTAAGTGCAATTAATATAATAAAAAATTCAACACACTCAACATTCTTGTCTCATTTCTTTCATTTTAGAGGTGACAGTAATAGCTCTCGCGTCGCCGCGCGCGCGCGCGCGCGCGTTCTTTTTTAATTATTAAATTTATAAATAAAAAATCCGAATTTATTTCATTCATTTGTTTATAAATAAAAATGGAGATTTTGAGAGGCAGTATTATTTATTTTTGTATTATTTATTTTTGTTTATTTATACAGTATTATTTATTTTTGTTTCTTATATCAGAGACATTGAATAATACCAGATAAAAAGAAAAACAAGTTTTTGATAAATAAATAAGTAAAAACAATTCACTAACGCCAGAGTTTATTATTCAGGTGTGACAGTAGTTGGGTCTTTTACCTTATATATAAGTATATACGATTGATTCTCTCTCCGAGAAGTGTGAAGAGATAATAAATTTAACTGATAACACTTTCGATTTTTTTTTATAAAGATGATGTCAAACCACTGGCAAATCGAATCGCGCAACACGTGCTCGAACGAGGCGTTTTCAGTGGTAAACACTGATTTTCTGAACAAGCACACGTGCCTCGATTCGATCTCGGTCTCGCGTTGTTGAATCCGAAAGAAGATACATTTTGTTATTTTTTTCCGATATATTTTAAATGCCTGCTATTGATTAAAAGTGAGATACGAAAATGCCAAGGTGACCGTCCGTAGCAACAGTTTCGATTTTTGATCGTCTTGATTTGTTCATATAATACTTTTGTATCTGTGTGTGGTGTGTGTGTGCGTAATTCTATTTTAGATAAAGAGACGTTTTGTCTCCTTATCTAGAGACGAAAATAAAATAGAAGAAAACATATTTCGTCTTCGTAAGTAATGATAAAATGATTTTTTAAACTTTTATCAGATAAAGCATCGACGAAAAGATAATTAGCCTAAACATTATGCGACGTACCGCGTCTGGAATCGCAATTTACACATGTATGTCACGGTTACATATTTCTATAATAATTCTTTCACGATAACGCGCGCGCGCGTGTGTGTGTGTGTGTGTGTGTGTTGAAACCTGTTTTCTAACTACATTTCAGATTCAGACTAATTAAAATGCGGACTATATTTAAAACACATGCGCAGAAATTTAGCGATTTTAAAACAAGTGACGTATGTTCATAAAAAAAAAAAAAAGCATTTGACAAATTGAACGTACGTTTGTGCGCTCTTATTTGAAAATAAAGTGAAAATATATATGAACTGCAACACATTCTACTGAGAAACCATACTAAAATTCTGCTGTCTTATCAAAGTGAATTGTATTTTGTGTGTCAAGCAGCAAAGTATCATAGCAAGGTACTTACATAACACACACACACACACGCGCGCGCGCGCGCGGCGCTCGAATATAAACACACGTAATATGCGATATAATGCTCGAGTTTTCCTTGTAGTTTTTTTAAGTCTCATATATAATATCCTCGACAACATTAGAATAACTTCAAAGTTCAGGACACGTAATGTCCAGTTGCGCGCGCAAGAAGAAAAAAAAACGTTGTTTCGTCGGAATGGCAAGAAGATTGATTGCCCCAGCGAGAAAAATTTAAAAATTACTACTCTAATTAAATTTACACTTATCACTTAAAGGCGAACAATTTACAAAATGTTTTTTGTTGACGAGAGGCAAACAAAATTCAAACTCGGACTCGGCGGATTTGTGAGCAAAACGTTTTTTTTTGTTGTTGGCTGAGCAAGCAGTTCGCAATTTAAAAAGAAAAAATCTTCCTTCACAAATTTTTCTCGCTGGCTCTGTACAATAATATAATAGCGGGACGCTTTCTTTCTTTTCGTGTGTGACACACACACACACGTTCTCTCAAACATCTATTTTTAGCATTTTTATCGTAGGTTTATTGAAGTGGGACAATGCGGCAAATAGTGAAAAGCGCGCACGTTAACGATTAGATGAGTAACCTTCGCCGTGAATTCAATTACGTTGCATGGATTATTATCAACTGTGCGCGTACACGTACATACACGTAAAGAGTGTGTGCAACGCGAAGGGGGACGCGGAGCGCGACGAGTTCCTCTCCTCCTCGAGGGAGAGGGGAGGGGGGGGGAGGAAAATGCAGAGAGCGGGATAACATCGGTTGGGTTACGCACGCCGACGATCGTGCGGACAGGATTTTGTGAATGAAACTCTCCTCCGCACACGCACACACCGAACAACCAATTCCTCGTTTCTGTTCGAGAATAAAATTCGGTAAAGAGATTGAAAAAAAAAAAAAAAAA